ATCGAACACATGTGGGCATCGTAAAAATGAAACAGTTGGCAAGACGCCACTGCTTCTGGAAAAACATCGACAAAGACATAGAAGCTATAGTAAAAAACTGCCAGGAATGCGCACTATCCCAGAAAAGTCCCGCTAAAGTTCCTCTCCATCATTGGGACGATCCGCAGCATAATTTTGAACGCCTTCATATTGATTACGCTGGGCCGTTTTTGAATCACCATTTTCTTGTCCTTGATTTCAAGTCAAAATGGACTGAAATTCGCATTATTAAAGACGTCCCGAAGACTGCAACTACCATAGAGCTGCTACTGGACATTTTTTGCACTCATGGATTCCCTGAAATCATGGTATCAGATAATGCGACAATTTTTCACAGTGACATATTCAAAACCTTCTGTCTGAACCATGGCATTTTGCAAAAGTTTATAGCGCCCGGTCATCCTGCAACTAACGGGTTGGCCGAACGTTATATACAAACTTTGAAATCAAAACTGAAGTGTATGACCGAACCAGATTCTATTCAACCAAGGTCCGCGAAATATTATTCCGATTCAGAACCACTCCTCTCCAGAATGGCAAAACTCCAGCCGAATTGCATTTGAATGGAAACATTAGGTACCAGTTCGACGTCTTCAAGCCTCCTACTTCAAAAATCCAAAAACGAGTATGATTCGACCTGCCACCATCACGACAATTCAAAATTGGGGACAAGGTACATAGCAAGATGGTATTCGAATTTCGAACAACAAGAAAACTTGAAAATTTGGTTCGATCATCCAAAAATTCGAACATCTCCACCACCAAGTTGAAAGGCAACGTCGATATATACCCCAACAGTCAGCCACCCTTGCAACCTCCACAAATTACTTCAGATTCGGAATCACCTGAAATCAACCACCACTACGAAAAATTGGCGTCCCTGCTCCTACCAGCCAATCCTGGATCGGATGTTATTCCTGATGTCGAAGCTGAACCTTCAGAAGTTGGACAATCTCCAACAGTGGAATCCGTCCGGCGATCTACTCGACCTCGCCGTCCTCCAGAACGTTTTAGAGACTATGTCATGTGATTTAAACTGTTGTTACAACTTTTACTTTTTAAATTTATAATTAACTGTCATAATTTTGTGGGGGAAGACTATTATGTTCTCAATTAAAATTAGAATTAAGTCGAAAAATCTAGCGCGCTGTTGCTGGGGAAAAAAAGGATTGTCAATTATTATTTTGTTAGTTAGTTACGGATTGTTTTTTCAATTAGGATATTAAATTCGATATTAATAATTTCTGTACTTCTGCGTTATGATTAATTAAAGTTTACTAAACTAAAGACATGTGAATTTAACTAATAGTGTGCCACCTCAAAATACACAACAGACGCTGAAACGTAGCCCCTTCATACTGGTCTGTTTTGCAGCGCTGCACTGCGTCCTGTCCTGCTGCTCAGCAGCGCTGCTAAGTCGCTCAGTGTGAAGGAGCACTTCCGAGTATTTACTTTGAATTTTGCAAGTATAAGCATATGCTTCCTTTTATTCATACGCGCCATTATCGAGATTTTCTTCACGGCGGAAGCTGGATGTGCCGTAGAAAAATTATAATTATTTCTTTTAAAGATTTTGTTTTAATTGAGCTAGCTGATGGACAGGTGCTCGTGGGTGAGTTTCGCGGGGTCTGCTAGTTATACATAAATTAAAGTCACTGTACCTCATATATCAAAGCGACCTTCCGCAGGCGATGTTTTTAACACAAAACAGACTTGGCCTGACAATATTTCGAAAATTGACCAATGGGAACTGCAAATTGGATCTTAGCGACGTCTAGCTTCACTTCTATAGATTCTCTGGGAATTGATGCTTTCTGGACGTAGTTTCGCTGGCGTTGAACTTCTAGTATTCATTACTGCAGTTCGTTACTAACCCATTCTTTTACTACAAACCAGAGCATATTTTAAATAACTTCCACTAGGCGGCACTGAACCCAGTATCGGTGCGCAACAACCTTTTTTTGGTGTGAATAAATCTAACACGTTTCATTAATTCGTTTCGTGTTAGTTTGTTCAATTATTAAAACTCGCGTTACAATTCTCGTTTCACGAATTCCCGAAATAAAACTTGGTTCTCGAACAAATTTTATTTTATTTAATCATTTAGCTCTAAAGACCGAATTTCTTCAAACAATTTTACTTTTGACCATGTTAGTGGCCAAACCCGAATTATTTTACCGCTTGATTATTGGCAAATAAGTAATGAGCTCTCAGGTGGCTCGACCTATAATGCCTTCCAAAAATCTCTCCATATTAATCCCTACCTATTTTTTTCGCTGTTTAAATTCCGTGTAGCAGGGAATGATCTCATCCCAATTTTGCGTTTTTAAGCACGTAAAACTAACATTTCTACCTTGTGTATGCTGAAAGACCGACAGTTGGGGCCAACGATTTCCGGAACGCGTTACCGCGTTATAGAACTCAATGGCACAGAAAAAATTATTGCTAATTTTAACCGGAAACTACGAACGTTGACATAAATCTAAATTTATTGACATTTGAAAAGATCAAGCCTATTACTTGCCTACTCGGTATACGTTCTACTATCAAACTTATAATGGTGGGTTTATACAATCATTATCATTAGTTCACTATCAAAAATCATTATGAAATATGCAATAGCAACAAAAGTTTATTGCGCGTTGCTAACCAACGAAACCATCCCGAGCTTAGTGAACTAATGATAATGATTGTATAAACCCACCATATCAATGTGCACCATCTCCATTAACGTTGACGCACAAAACGTGGAAATTGCGTACAAATTAGCACAAAGAGGCATACTATAATGTGTTAAAAGCTTTTCGGTTATATAATATGGAAGAGCAGATTAATGCACGAAAATGAAGAAATACGTCTAGGAAAAAGGATTCGGTAACTATAGTAGATTGAAATAACCGCATTTTCCAGGTTTTTGAAAATGACCTTTTTGAATTTTCAAAAAAATGTTCAAAGCGCTTAGTTATTCTATTAAGATTTCGGATACCTACTAGTTCTTAATTATGATAATGACTAAGAACAAAACAGTATTTCTTATTATTTACTTACACCTACCATTTGATATCCAATATTACTGTTAGAACCCCACATCGCACCATAAACAGGAAGTGGGGCCACGGTACTATTTGTGGGTCACCTACATTATTTATTGATGACCATCGCAAAATGTTGTTAATGACCTTGTGTACCCAATTAACTGCTTAAATCCTGTAACAATTCGTTTAGTTTAATAAATCAATTAAAGCCAAATATTTCGGTCATGACAAGCGCGATCAGCCGCAGAAATGCTGCAAGTAAATCCTTCGTGTATCGGCGGACAACGTGAAAGAAAGATGATTGCTAATTTTGACCGATCAAAAAGTTCCATTACACACATGTAAAATGATGCAAATATTAAATCAACGATAATGAATAAACTTATTTATTATTACCTACGTCGATAATTTGTTGAAAATTTTTGTAAATACCACCATCTAGGTAGGTGCTTTGGTAGGTGTTAAGCTCTGTGATTTTCCATGAACGCCTCAGTGTATTTACAATCTACCTGATACGAACAAAAAAATGCTTTAGTTTTTGCAAGATGTAATGAATATCTTCACTAGACTTTTAAAACCCGTTTTACGTGCTCAAAGTTATTTTATAAAAGTCAAAAGTGAAGTGACTTAATGACTTTTTGAAAATGTTGTCCTTTACTTGCTGCAATTCTATTTCACTTCCACGTGAAATTTTGCTAATACCAACCTAAAAAAAATATACCACCGGGAACGGGACGTTTGGGCGAGATACTAAGTTCGCCGAGTCTACTAGTATGAAATAAATCTCATATGAAGTGGGAAATTATAGCTTAACAATATCCCGAATTTGCTGGATTTGTGTGTATACCCCGAACAGCAGAATAACTACTAAAATATTTGAAAAATACAAAAAATAAAAATAATAAGGACTTTGGACGGACGAGAACTCAACCATTTCCAAACATTTAAGAACTATATGTGGGTTCGTTTCTTTGTCTTCAGGATGCCAAATTTCCTCCCACCTCCTTAGTCAAAATTTGCAAAAAGTTTTACAAAATCGCAAAAGCCAGGCCTATTGTGAGTTGTGGGTGTCGTCATTTTACGTAATTTACAGAAACAAATTTAAAAAACCTAGATTTCGGGACTTCCTCCGATTATTTAGACATAATTTGTGTGTTCTCTCGCTACACATTTTTTAGGTTTCTAGCTTGAGCTAGTGACTATTGCGACCACCGTTTTTTGGACATGTCAAAATTGGATCAAACCGAGTCAATCTGGGTCCAACCGCAATAAACCGAACCAAAGCGGGTTTCAAGGTGAAACACTCGTTTGCTTGCATATTTTACCGAAAGCCTAGGAATATTTGAGCTAATATCAGCAACTGTTGTTTTTGCAAATCGTCTATCCGCACGTACCGACGAATGTTATCGACATATCGACATTGGTAATACCCATAAACTATCGCGACACGTGCATACCTTTGGAATTTTTTTAGGTAATTACTGCTACAATAAAACTACCTACCCTATTCTATTTTGATGATATTGTCTTTTGTCAAAAGTAAATGACATAGTAAGTATCACCAAAAAGTCTTGACATCATGTCAATCCACAATACCCAGTGCAATATAGTAGGTATACATTAATTGAATGAATTTCATCGACAACGTAATCCTAAATTGCTGTTGCGCACTGTTTCCAATTATTATAATTTTATGCAATGAATATTTATGGCATAAATCACTCCATCACTGTTCCGGCGCTTTTTTCTGTATGGAAATTGTAATTACGAGCGTACATTTGTTTATCACAGCGCTACATAAAAATTAGAATTATTATCTACCTTTTTTGTCGATCTGTGATTACATATCTCGTTAACAACGAATCGTAATTATTAGATAATGAGAAGTGGACATGTAGAAAAATGGGGGTAAATCGCATCCAAAATCTCTTGATGCCAGTAGGCACGCTAGTGAGAATAGTAAATATATAAGTATAGCCCAGGAACTTGACATTAAAGCACTTACATCCAAACGAAAAGCATTAGATTGGTAACGCATTGCCCTCAAAGGCAGATACTGCAATTAAAAATTGCATCATCTAGTGCACTTCAACACTTTGATATAAAAGAACGTGTAGCTTCAAGTTAGCGCGTCGTTTATTTCAAATTTGTTACTATAGCAAGACGGTCCTGTTTTTATTAGTGGCGAAATTTTAAGTGACACTGACAATGCACGAATCGGGGGATCGGACTTTTTTGTATGCTGCCGTATGTGTCGGTAAGTTGTTTTTGTTTCTCTCATTAAGCACAAATCGAAAATTTTCACGGTAACAATGGCAATTACGCGGTGCATTTGATTTAAAGTGTGTATGCAGCTTTAGATGTGGGATGCGGAACTTGAGGGTCCTTGTTCCCTCGGGCAATGAAAAATTTCCACTAGCATCTTGCGTGCATTCCATCGTATTCGTGCGTTAATTAATTAATGTATTTGCAACTTCAAAATTATTGAGGCAGGTCATGATTTGCGCAACTCGCCCCAATGAGTAGGTTTGCAAAAAGCTTGCAGAATTTAAACTGCCGCCGGTTATTGCATTTGGATTTGAAAGAGAAGGAGAGGGTATTGACCATCTGGATGAGCCGTATGAATGGAAAATTACTGGATCCACTCTAAGGCTACTGTTATACGGTGTTATTTTTATCGGCTATTTTTGGGTCGGCATTTTACAATTGTTTTACTTGAATCGCGCCCCTGCAAAGAACGCGCGCTCTGCTATTGCGAAAATTTTTATCGCAATTGCAACTTTCCCACTTGTCGGTGTGCATTTTTGGACGAGCAAATAATATTTGAATGGAATTTAATCTAGCACATGCTTGTAGTGGAAACTTTTCTAATTTAACGGAATTACAATTTACCCCTATTGGGTCATGTAAATACCTTCCTTAATTTTCTTTTAATGTGCACTAATCTTCAACCTTCGAAAAAATAATCTTTCATGTTATATACGGGGTGTTTTTCTGAAGACCTCACTGTTATATCAATTAATCATTCTCCACTTATTTATTATGATGTTTATAACGGAAAAACATTAGCCTAGACATTCGCTCATCAGAACGAGTATAGTTTTACATACGTGCTAAAATTTTCATCCCTTAATGAATTAATTTTCGAAAGGAAAAAATGACTAAAAGCACGACACATTTGTGGGAGAACCAAATTATAGCTCTAAATTTGGTTCTATTTACAAAGAAAATGTAGTTACGACAACGACAACCATCCGTTGCCATGTAACAAAATTTTCGGAAAATATACAAAAATTTATAATGATAGATCTAAAGCTCCAAGATTCGAGGGCATCTTTTACCGAAATATCTGCCTGTTAATATTCATATAGAACTCATTAGGTAAATTTAACGTAATCATGAAAGATCGGCCTTTATGGCAATGGAAATTAACCTCGAAATTAACCGAGTTTAATGGTGCTTCCCAAAGGCCATAGTTTTCCTCGAGGTTTTCCTTTACTAGAAGTATCTATGGTTAAAATTTCAAATAAATGATTTTCATGATTTTTGATTTGTTGGATTCCTCTTCGACCCGAATAGCATAATGACTATATCGAAAATATAAAAAAAAATAAAAGAAAATTATTATAATCGAGCTTCGGAACTTCTAAACTTTCTAATTTTTTTGATTATTGAAGGATTGTGGGAAGTACTTTTAATGGCAAGTTTTAAAATTTTTTAGTTTTTCATATTTGAAATGAGCTTTCGAGGCATATCATGAGGCCGCAAGGGAAGTTGGAAGGGACATGAAGGGGATTTGAGGCGAACATGGGAATGATTTGATAGTAATTAAGCACACATGGGGAGGAACTTGAGGAAAGCTGAAAATGAAACATCAGGATTACAATGATTTGCAGGGATACTTGATGGAACCTTCAGAGGAATGGGAGATGGGAAAAGATGAAGAAGAACTTGAGGAGAACTTGATAAGAATTTGAGAGCGACTTATAAGAAAATTATATGCAGGAAATTGGAAGAGAATTTGAGGATTTGAAAAGTATTTATATAGGAAAATTGAAGGAAACATGAAGAGGAACAATAACTACACTTAAACAAACTTGTAAAGGGACTTCAAAGACTCCTAAAAAGAAATTGAGCAAAGATCGGGAATTTTAGAACTTGTGGACATCTTTAAGGGGAAAATCGAAGGCGCCGTAAGAACTTCAGGAAATTGCAATAAGGCTGAGAGGAACGTGAACCGAATTTGTTTGAAAAGAAGTCGATTAAAAGACTTTACAGTAACTTAAGAACAACTTTAAGAAGACTACAACTTACGAGGAACTTAAGGAGAGATGGCGTGAAAATAACTTGAGGAGAACTTGAAAAGAATATGTTGAGAAATTCAGGGAAGGTTATGAGGAACATGAAATATAGTCAAAGGAAAGGGGAAAATGGAGGGAATTTAAGAATAGAAGAAAGCATGAGAAGGAACTTCAGAAGATTTTGAGAGCAATTTGAGAAGCGGTCGGGAGAATCTTGACAAAAGTTTGAAAATTCTGTAGAAAAACTCGGGGATAATTAATTTCAAAAATTTAAAAAATATGATGAATAAAAAAGTGACTATCTTTGCGGCTCCTCCGGAAAATCTGAGCAGCCTGCCAATGCTCCGCTGAACGGCAACACATCCCACACCCGATAGTTTATTTAGGAGCTAAAATGTTACCTAATTTACCTTTGGGGGCAAATTGATGGGCCACCATTGAATATGTATAGGTATATATAAGAACACATTGCTCAGTATACACATGAGCATATGTGATCTCTAGAATATGCGAATGCTTGCGTTTACTAGAAGTATCTGTGGTTAAAAAATATTTCCATAAATAAGAAAAATGACATTGCGCATGCATGCATGATGTTTACAATATGCGATGTTTCCCTTTACTAGAAAAATTTTTGATTAAAATTTCAAAAAAATATCTATAAATATGAAAGTTCACATTGCGCAGTATGCGCATACGTAGGTACATGTGATGAGATTTTTAAAATTCGAAATTGCTTTTCTTATTTTTGCATTTTTTTAATTGTTTAAGATTTATTTTGTTTGGAAGTTCCTAAATTCGTTGCAAATTGTTGGTTCGGGTCCTGGCTTGGTCTTTTTGCCATAAGTGTTTAAATTTTTGTGCGTTTTATGGGCCTGATTTTGCACGCCGATTTTTCAATTCTGTTACTATGTTGCACGATAGGGTAAACAACGTTGCTGTGATTGGGCTTTCTGATCCAAGATAATTTAGTTTGCGCTCAAAAAAGGGGTCAATAATTGCCATGTACTTGAAGAAGTCGAACACGTTTATGACAATTCCAATCGGCATGCATTTTCGCGCCCCTATTCCACTTTTTTGTGAAACTCTTAATAATACTAACAAAACAACAACAAACAATACAAAAGAATTGTTGGGCCACCAATTCTGAGATTTGACCCAAAGTTGCTATTTTTTAAATGCAATATGCTTATATTATTTACTCTATGACGCTATATATCTTAACGTCAATTTTTTGCATTACTTTTCCTGATTACATTGATGTATTACAACTTACATTTTTATGTAATTGTATTATATTATAGGTATTATTTCACTTTTTTCAAAATTTTGAAATGACATTTTTCTACGGTCACCCAGTTTTATGGATTGGTGCCTTAGTTATCGTGGGTAAAATAAAAAATATTACTAACATAGGGTCAAATCTCAGAAACGGTCATCCAAACAACTTTTTTTACTACATCACTGAATTCTACGTAAAAATCTCTAAAACAAACAGTGGGTTACATGGGTAGTAAGATATGATAACATCTCAAAAAGTCAAACTTTTCGTTTTTACTCTGTATCTCAGAAGCAATCGTAGAAACATGGACTCTGTAGTATTAAAATCTTCACAAAAAAGTGGTACAGGGTCGCGAAGTCTTTATCTTTAAAAACAGCCAAGACACACTGCAGTCTCAACCAAAATAGGACACAGGGTACATTGCGCTTCCAAAAAAGTAGGGAAGCTTCTAATTACGATAGCCTAAACTAAATGTCCTCTTCGTCGAATTTTCCGCAAATCTGCAAGCTTAAACTTCGGCAACATTCCCCATTGAAAATGTCTTGCTCAATTCAATTAATTGTCTTATCATCGATTAACTTTCAAGTGTCAAGATTCAATTGACCTATATCTTTGCACTTGAACATGTTGCGATCCGATCAAACAATGAATTAGGGACTTTTTTTTAATTCTAACTGTTAATGACCTGTACCACAGATTAAATACAATCTGTGCCTGTACTTACCGATCATGTTAGATGAACATTTTGTCAATTCAATTCGTAAGAGACTTTTGAGAAACCACGATATTGGCCTTGAATTTTCGGTAACCTCGAGCAATTGACTCAAATTATCAAGTACCGGCACTTGAAGATACACGGTTCCATTGTTACCCATAGTGTTTAGCGTTAATAGTGTGACTAACACAAGCTTTTCGTTTCAGGTAACCTTGTCGCACTCACGGCAGGTATTGGACTAGGATGGACGTCGCCAGTTATTCCAAAGCTCAACAACCCATTGCATCTCGACGAAAATCCGTTCGGGCGCCTAATAACCGCCGAGGAAGAATCCTGGATAGGGTCACTGCTAGCTTTTGGCGCCATTTTCGGACCCTTCGTCGCCGGATTTTCGGCCGACAGGTTTGGCCGAAAGAAAACACTGCTGTTTGTATGCGGCGTGCCGTTCCTAGTCTCATTTATAATGCTGGCGTTTGGCAAATGCGTCGCGCTGTATTACGTCGGGAGATTTTTGTCCGGATTCGGTGTTGGCGCCGTATTTACGGTTTTGCCAAACTTTAACAGCGAGGTGGCCGAGGATTCGATACGTGGAGCGATTTCGTCGTCGATGAACGTGTTTGTCGTACTAGGACCTTTATTTGCCTATGTTGTAGGTCCGTTCACCTCCATAATGGTTTTCAGTATAATTTGCGCAATAATACCTGCGTGCTTTATTGTGCTTTTTTATATGATGGTACCCGAAAGTCCGTATTACTTATTATCAATCAACGACTCTGTGGGCGCAATGAAATCGTTAAAGAGCTTCAGACGATCCAGTGATTCAGCGGTGAATAAAGAGTTGCAAAACATGAAAATTTCCGTTGAATCTGCCATGTGTGATCAAGGGACTTTTATGGACGTTTTTAAATCGAAAGGGTTGGTGAAAGCGTTAGTTATTTCAATGGCGCTGGTTGGATTCCAACAATTTTCGGGAATAAACATCGTACTGTTTTATTCGCAAACCGTTTTTGAAGCGACCGGTAGTTCGATTCCTTCAGATATATCCCCAATGATTGTCGGCGGCGTACAGGTGATAGCTAGCTGTATTACCCCTTTAATAGTAGACAGAGCGGGAAGAAAATTACTTCACATCGTGTCTGCTACTGGCATGCTTCTCTCTCAAGTTCCCTTGGGGCTCTATTTTTACCTGCAGACCGATGGCAAAGACGTTCAAGGTATCTTCTGGTTGCCAATACTATGCCTAAACGTCTACATCACGTTTTACAACTTTGGATTTGGACCTCTACCTTGGACAGTGATGGCAGAAATATTCCCCGCAAATATAAAATCCTCAGCGTCTACCGCTACGGCATCGTTCTGTTGGGTTTTGGGATTCATCGTTACTAAATTCTTTTCGTCGGTCACCGAAGAGATCGGAATGGGTGGATCGTTTTGGCTATTCTCAGGCTTTTGTTTTTTGGCAATAATATTCGTTTTTACTTTTGTCATAGAAACGAAAGGCAAAAGCTTCCAGGAAATTCAAGAAATATTAGCCCGCTAATGAGGGCGTTGAGTTTTACAATGGTACAATATCTATGTGATCTTAATAAAATAGACTGATGGACGTTTTATACTTACCATATTTACAATAATTGAACTGATATTTTTCTATGAAAAATTATAGAGTGGTTGTAGTGTACTGTAACCTGTAAGTGTGTGATATAATTTGTATGGGGAAAAAATGTACTTTAAGTAAAGAATAAAATTATATTGTATGGTCAGATCAGATCATGGTTGTGAAATGATTACACCTTAACATTGTGTGCAAAGTACACCTCAGACGTGATCACATACCTCGGAACATATTTTTACATATTATTTACCTTTTATTTTTCCTATAGTAGGTATTATAGTATATTATATACCGCGGGACTGAAGTAGCACTGTTAATCCCGAAGGTAAAGTTTATGGCCCGACCATAATTTACCTGAGGGATTAAGACTACTACTTCAGTCGCAAGGTATATACGATATTTTTCGTACTTCCGAAACTGAAACATATAATATGTATGGAAATAGAGAACGCGTTCTTTCAAAAAATCGCTGCTTAACAAGTTACCATGGGAACGTTGCGTTGGTACGACAAACCCTATGATATGGTAACAAAAATAATTTGGAAACTGTCATTGCTAGTGTCATAATTTTGGTCGTGACTCGTGGGTGACAAAGGTGTATTTCATTTTGATAAAAGAGCAGCCAAAGTAGGTACAGAATTGATACCACCGAAATCCAAAAAAACTATATGAGCCAGTACGATGCGTTTAAGAAGTACAGAATGTGGAACAACCTACTGAAATTGCCTTGTAAGTAATTTCATCCTTCAGGGATTTTCGTCCAAATTTAATCCCGGCGAGACAAAAAGTGACACTTCAGTACTTGTCATAATGGAGTGAAGTTGTCCCTTTACTCCTTTAAGTACGAAAAATCCCATATAAAATGAGCTGTGAGTTACCGCATGCGTGTTAAAGTTTGGCCTACACTGGAAATAGGTATATTGGGGGGTTAGGAAAAAAGATAGGATGAAGGCCCAGAGATCCTCCCAGAAAAACCACCCCCAAAGGTACATTTTCTTATGTTTGTGCAATTTTCTCTGAAACTATTGATTTTTTGGAAAAATGTCTAAAGACTTAATTTAAAGATAAGAAATTTACTATCGATTGGTGTATGCAATGTTTATAATCACTTAATAACTAACCGAAAATAAGGTAATAAAATGAAGGTAAAAATAAAAAAATGTGGCGAGCTAGACTAATACTACTCATCTTTAATAAAAATAGAAATCAAACTTCTAATGATCTAATTATGTTGAAGAAAAGTAACTATTTTGAGTTATTTCAGTTATTTTTAAGACTTTTTTTAAGATTTCTTCGGAACTCGAATAATAAAATTGATCTTTTTTTTATATCTAACAACTGTTGCTTGTTCAAAGGTTAAATTAAGACTCCAGTGTGATTTCTACATTACCCATGAAAACACTGTTCGACATGTTGGCCCGGGAGCAGAGATGTTTGAAAACTGTGATCACGAAGAAGCAGATACTAAAATTATCCTATATATAATTCATGCTGTAAAGACAGGTTCAAAAACAGTTCTCGTGAAAAGCGTAGATTCCGATATAATTGTTATCCTAATATGTATATCATTTCGAATATTTCCAACAGCTTAGTCTTGAATGTTCAATATACCTATATTATGGAACGGGAAAAAATAGAAGGAAATTAAACATTGGAAAGGGAAACCTTTACCACGCTTTGGGGCCGAAACTTAGCCGCGCTCTTCCCCTATTTACCACCTTAAAAGGATGTGAATCCACATCGTCGATAAGAGAAAGATAAAAAAGACCGCTTTTCTTGCAATGCAAAGAAGAGGAGACTCATTAATATCCGCAATGTGTGAGATTTTGGCTAAACCATTTAATGGTATTTGAAATAAACTCTCCCTTGTTCAGTGAACTAGAAACTTTTTTTTGTTAAAATTTACGGCGGGGAAACAAAAAGTTTGAACCAGCTTAGAAAGGAGATATTTTGCCACCGGAACCATCCTCCCACGCAGGATGCTTTACTGTTACACTGCAAAAGGGCTGTGTATCAAGCGAGCATATGGGCTTCTGCCGAAAATCCTTTGATTCATGATCCAGACCCTTCTGATTTTGGCTGGGTGAAATCTCCCGAGGGTAAACTTAGCCCAAAGTGGATATCAATCCCACAAGTTAGTAAAGCGTGCGAAGAACGTGTAACTGTAAGAAGGGTTGCCTTAAAGCATGCAGTTGTAAAAAAAGAATCTTCCCTGTACTTTGTTATGTAAATGCGTTTGTTTAAAATCTTGATATATCTACACAGTAAATTCTTTGGTATATTCTTAATTGTTGTTTTTTTATATATGTATTTTAAGTTTGCCTTTTTGATATTCCTTATATTCAAGAGTGTACCAGAGTACATAGGTATTAAACTAACAATGTTTCACCTGTTGAAAATTGAATAGTGTCGGAAATGATAGAGCCAATGTATTTTTGCAATATTTGTAGGGTTATTTTACAATTTATTTTTTGTTGAAGATAAACATGTTATATACCAATCGATAGGAAATTTTATTTTCTTTAAATTAGGGTTCTTGACATTTTCCGAAAAAATAATATTTTCTGAGAAAATTGGGAAAAACTAAAAACTGCACCTTTGGGGTGGTTATGGGGTAGTTTCTCAAAAGGGATCCCCGGGCCTTCACCCTATCTTTATTTCTAGTTCCCCAATAAAGACTTTTTGGCCAAAGTCCAAACTGTAACACGCACGGTAACTCACATTATAGGATTCATACTTACTACTACCAAATTTTCCAACGCGACTGACGTCGAGAAAAATTTTCCTGGTCAAAGATCAACGTAAATGTTCGACTTTTTATGTCGCCAACGTCAATACCTACTTAGGTAAATTATGTTTTATTCAAAATTGTAGAGTATAAACCTATAATTTGTTATTTCATTTGGTACCTACTCTACCATTTATAGTTTAGGAGATACATGAATTTAAAGTTACGGGTTTTTAGCAATTCTTGAAGGTACTATTTTTCACGTTATTTATATAGCTACAAACGAACTGAGCCCTTCTCCGCTACATTTCTAGGCTATAACAAATCGTAAAATTGCCTTTATAGAAAATCTACCGTTACAATGTTACTCTACCTCTTTTTCAGCAAAAAATTAGCGCGAGGAGCATTTCAAATCTGGCAACACTATTTGGCTATGTGCTTATAACGTACGATCAAAAATGAGTTGCCGTCGAGTCACCTTTGGAAGTTCAAGATAAATACGATTTCCCATGTAAACAAAAATTCCAGAGGCGACTCGAGAGCAACTCATTTTTGATCGCATGGTATCAGAGTAAGTCATTTTATCAGTTAGTTCAAGTTCAGTAGTCAGAATGTTGTGCACTTGTGAAGGGTTACGATAGTGTTGTTTACACATACATGTGTATATTGTGTGCCGAGATACTTGAAGGAGGAATGTCAGTTTCCTCAACAATATAGAAAGATTTGTCGCTCTGACATAAGAACAACTCATCTTTTTAAGAAATCTAGGGAAGATAAGTATATTAAAAACCGAAACTGCCAAAAGGCATTGGAGTACAAATAATAAGGAAGAATAGTTCAAAATCATAAAAAAAAAACCTGTAGAAATTATACATATTGGCTGACATACGATTCCGACTGTACCATACTTCAGACCATCGACGTATAATAAATGGACTGCGCGTGCCAATGATAAGTGCGGATACTGCAAGTGAGAAAGAAGGGAAAATTAAGAGGACAAGCTGTCTCTTACGGTGACGCATCTGATTGGTTCTTTCAACAGAAGCGGTCGCGATCGTATTCAAATTAAATAGAAAGAACCAATCAGATGCGTAACCGTAAGAGACAGTTTGCCCTCTTAGTTTTCCCTTCTCTCTCACCTGCAGTATCAGTGCTTAGCACTGGCACGCCCAGTTAATTTTTTGTATGTCGATGCTTCACACCCACTGACCTTTTTCTCTAATACCTATTTTTGAAGATATTCCTGACACATTAGACAATTTCTTTTAAAGTAATTTTAAAGCATAAATTTAGATTAGATATCTAACCTATATTAATCTACTTTTGTGTACAATAAATTTATTTATTTTTATATGTATACCTAATCGATCTGTATAAATTTATTTTTAAGTTCAATAACGAAAAAAATGGTGTTCTTCTAGGAGTCCACAATCCTAGAATTAGTTGGGCGCCGTCCTGCACCCTTTGCTATCCTCCGCTAATCTTTTCATTTCTACATAACTGCCCTTGCCTACGTCCCTAACTATTTGATCTATGTAATATGTATATAAGCCTCTGCCGTCTACCTCTTGCCATCTGACCTACCTTGTATAGCTAAGTATATGTAACTGTACTAATTCTCCGTGTCTGATCATGTACCCTATCATTCTTCTCATCTTCTATGTGCCGTTTTCCACATTTCCCTATCTTCCTGTATTAGCTCCAAACCTGCTCCGTTTGTCATCCATCCAGCTCATCCCCATTATCCTTCCATAGCACCATATTTCGAATGCTTCTATCCTACTTTGGAATTCCCTGCCTATTGTCCAGGTTTCGTATCCGTATACAGCTACACTCCATATCTACGTTTTTAGTAGGTAGCCTTTTATCTTTTATGTGCGGATCGACCTTACTTCCAGGAATTGCCTGTTTGTAATATGGGCGCACTGACCTTAAATCGTTTTTTGTATCGAGATAAGATAAAATCTCGGTGTTTGTACCCAAATGCCCAAATAAATTTCATTGTCACTGCCATGCTATATCATTTTCCCTTAAATGGTCTCAACCACGAACTTATAAATTAAGATGGACTGCTGATCAAACAGTTGCATATAGATGTAAAAATGGCCCTAGCATGGGCGCGGCCATGATGTGCACGTTTTAATTGTTTTCTAGGGGAATTTTTCTAGTGCTCAAGTTTTGAGACTGTTGCAGTGTTGGAAAATGACATGTGTCACAGTAATTTATTTAGAAAACGTGAGGTTAATGCTTGTTTATTAGTTGATTTGAATTTCGCGCCAAACGAGTGCACATCATGGCTGACCCCATATAGGTGTCATTTGCCAATTCAGCATTAGCAGTTCATCTTAATTTATAAGTTCGTGGTCTCAACATATGCGTCGTCGATTTGACCCCTCTTTTCTTGCACATCCATAAAACTTACCCGCTC